TTGTTATGTCTCTCGTTTTTCTCATATCCTTGTTAAGTGCCATGCACTAACCAGACATTGAACTAACCCCTTCGAATCATAACGTAAACAAATAAAAATGATAATGACAAACGAGGAAATTGTTAAACTAGACACATGAGGTGTAGTTACTAAAAACTTTGAAAATTATAAATACCTCCTTTTATTGTCACAACATACCCCCTTGAGGTTTATATTTACGGAAAGTATCTCTAAGGTACAAATACAATTAGTTAAAGATAAATGAACGTCAAGTGGATATATGCAACTTTGAAAGATAAATGGATTTCTTTTGTAATTAGGTGAAACGTGAGGGTAGTTTCCGAGATCAACAGATAAAGATTGGGTAGTAATTATGGGTTTATTTTCATTAAATAAAGAAATTAGCAATAGTGACTGAACTTATACCTTCTATTTTTGCAGCACTGCTGAGTGTATATGGGCTCAAGCTTCAAATCGAAAACCAGAAGAGGTGAGACAGAACCTTGTGGCATACAACTAATGTATATATTATCATTTTTTAACCAATCGTGTTAGTGATAATCTATATCCTCGTTCTTTCAGGCAAGTAATGCAACTGTTAATGTTGAAGAATTCCTCCCAGTGGTTCGAGCAAAAAAACGGCTTATTTGTACTACACAACATATGCAGCAGATCTTTCAACCTATACCAGTAATTATTCTGTGCTCAGATGCTAGTCTCACTTGTGATAGTGTGGCATATGTTGCTGCTAGATTAGAGTTGGGAGATGCATGGTTCCTGACTGGTCAGTTGGCATCTAATACCAACAACATGTAAGAGCTGCTTGTATATTTTTGTTGATTGTTCCTATTACTATTGTCATTACTCATTTTTCAAAGGAAGAAAATAATAATGATTAATAATTAAAATGAGTACATGTCGTAAAAACCTACTTACTTTTCCTGTGAATAACATTCAGGTCACCGTACAAGCTAAAGACTTCAAATGAAAAAGAAGCCTGCGAATTCTCAGAACTTGTGAAAGCCTTCATTGATCGCATAAAAAAAGTTGAAGCTGATTTATCAAGGTAATATGTGATCCATTTGTGGTCATATTTTTTTTTTTATTTCTCAGGTTGATATAGATTCATGAGGGTCACGGTTTTAACTAGCCTAGGATAGAAATGCATATGATTCAAAATATTCAAATGTAGTAAAGTTCACCTTTAAGAAAGATCCCATCAGCTACGTACCGTAACATCAAGAAAAACGGCTCATTTTTTAACCCTTCGGAAGCGCATTTTCATAAATTAATGCAAGTGAATTTTGTAATGATGCAGAGTTGACAAAAGCTTATCATTTGTCGACTTCAAAGTCGAAGTGAGTGAAATGGAGAGATTCTCGACAAATAACCGTTTTGCAAGGTTTCACACAATGCGGGCCCAACCTGCTCCTAATAATGCATTGCCTTCTCACACAGCTACTTTGTTCAACCCTGGCCTTCAAAAATATGTAATTCCACGTGCAATGCCTGAAATAGTACCAGAAGGACAAAATTGTATTTCCTTGTGATAGTCAACCAATCAAAAACCAATTTTTCTCCATCCATGAGACTCGACAATGCTATTTAAAAGCTCTGCCAGGAAAATGCTAGCTTGCTCAGGTGATGTTTCCGACTCTCGTACTAATGGTCGGTCCTTTTTTCCATTTTCATTTTTGAGGAAGTATATAGTTAAATATAATTAATTTTCTATATATATTTACTAAATATTTAGGACAATGTAGCCTGTAGGAGCCAGCACTTGACTTTTACGAATATTTTAGTAATTTGTATCTATGCACTTGTGTGTATAAATCTAACCTTTCTTGCCATTAGTACTGTAGTATTTTTTTTTTTCCCTCTGATCTCTTTGCAGGTATTATTATCATGAAAAATAAGGACAGTCAAATGGAAATGTTTAGCTTGAACATATTGTACTTTGATGTTTGTTGTAGTTTCTTTGTGCAACTGTTCTCTTACTCAATTGTCAATGTTATAATATCAAATAAGTTATTTTGTTTTGCCTACAATTTACTTTGGAAATAGAAGTTTCTGAGCCGTTGTTTTAATTAGGAGGCGCACTAGGTCGTGTACCCCAAACAATGATTTTATGTTGTGTTTCATTAGTTTTTTGTTAGACTGATTGTCCAGTTACAACGTGAAACCTACATTTTGTAACAGTTGTGACTTGAATTGGATTTCGCTGTTGTAACTAGATTTTGCCTGCTTTTCAACTAGACATGGCCACGGGCCGAACCGGCCCGTGGCCCGAACCGTGAACCGGTACCGGCCCGGACCAAACCGGCACCGGTACCGGCATGAACAGTACACGGGCCGTGAACCGGACCGGGCCCAAAGCGGTCCGGTTACGGTTCAATGGTTTTCATTAACCGGTCCGGGACCGGTTCCGGTTTTTCCGNACCCGGCGGTTCAACGAACCGCCGGGCCGGGCCAGTTCAAATGAACCGGCCCATAGGAATTGCCGGGCCGGGCCCGGACCTTGCACCTGGCCATGTCTATTTTCAACTCATCCGCCCACTTTCCTTTCAAAAGTTCTGAATCATAAAGGACAGGCTGCTGCCACGTAAGCTGCTGTTATACATAACTATCACGCAAACGTTTTTTGTCCAGTTTGTCATCATATAAAAAAAGAGGTCCCTCGACAGTCTTACCTGCACTGTGTGAAAAGTGTAATGTGAGAGAAACAAAAAGGGAAGAACTTATTGGCATTTTCGTACCAAAATATTATTTTTTAGTTATTTGAGGACGCAGAATAAAGCAGCGGAAAACGAATTGCTGCGTATGAGATAATGACCAAACTTTTGGCCCTCACGAATTCAAATCAGTTAGTTTGTCTTATCTGCAACATGCCAAAGTTACATTTTCTTGGGAAAGTGTGCTCCTTTTAGGCTCGTCTTTTGTCATCTCTTGGTGAGGGGAGATACAGCATGGCCCATATGGTGGATATTCCGAGGGGAGATACAGCATGCCACCTGACTCTTAACACCTCTCGGTGTTATAGTTCTTTTCAAATTTCAGCGGAGGCAGTTTTCCCTAACGGTTTTTATACCATGACGATTAATAAGAGCCAGAGTCAGTTTTTATCACATGTTGACATGTTCTTGTGTCACTAATCAAAAGGGCCTTAAAAATATTGGTTTGCTGGAAGGATGGTGTGCCTACGAGATAAAAAATGTTGTCTAGGGAGAGATTTTTAATAATATATAATAATTTTTTGGGAGCTTTCTTTAAAAATCCCAAATCCCTTAATCATCTTCCATGTCAGTCTCTATACATAATTTCTTTCTGTTTCACTATCCACCCTCATATTCAACTTTCATTTAAATCCCTTCCATTAAAATAAATCACAAAGAAATTTTATTTTGACATCATCCCACTACCATTCATCTTGTCTTATTATTTTATTGTTTCTCTCTCTCTCTACTACTAACTTTCTTATTTTTTTATTATTTTTCTTTCTTTCTCTTTCCACACATTTTTTTATTATTTTGTTCTCATCTTATACTATTCATCTCTTTTACTACTTTTTTTTAATAATTTTTATTATTTTTCTTGCTCTTTCCTTCCACACAAGATATAGGTACTAAATTACAATAACATTGGTATTGTCCTACTACATTATATGTATCAGTTTTGTAAACAAATATTTACAGTATATATTCATTTTCGTTCATATAAGTAGGTATTAAATGACAATATATATGTACTGAGTTACGACAACACTGGTACTGTCTTATTCCAATATAAGTATCTGTTTTGTAACTCATTAAAACAAACTATTATGGATCTAGTATGATGCACGGGTAATAGATATTAATTAATATTTATAAATTATAAATTTTCACTAAATAATATTTATAAATTAAAAAATATGAAATCACTATGTAATACTCCCCCTATATTAAATTATTTAAAATGTTATATGAAATTTAAATTGTGCAAAATTATATAAAATATGTCTATTTAAAACTAGTAAACAACTCGTATGATGTACATAACTGATAATAAGTTATATTATTTCATTTCAAAATAAGTGTCATTCTAAAATTTTTATTCAAAATTCAATTTGAATACAATGTGGTTCCATAAAATAAATATTTTAATAAAATTTTTATCATATATTTAAAAATATATGTGAATAATAAGTATAATATTAAAATTTATATCTTTTCATTAATTAATATAAATTTATTTTTGTATAAACTATCCAAATAAAAAAAATTCTATTTTACTATTTCATATAAATCTATATTACACTAATCTCACTTTTAAGGCTTGTTGTATGTTGCAATGTCGTTCAAATTTATCATCTAATACTCTATAATTAAATCATAAATTTTACTAAAAACTATTAATTCAAAGATCTATCTAATTTTCAAGAGGAATATATTTATCAACCAGTACGATACTCGTGTACTATACGGGTACTTAAATATATTATTATTTGTACAATAGAAAGTTAAAAATAAATTATTTTTTATTGTAAAATTATGTATACTGAATATAAAAAATAATGAATAACTAATAAAGTAGTAATTAATTCAAAATGGGGTACGTATTTTTGTACTTATTTTCTTATTTTATTTAAAATCTATGATAAAACGCAATAAAATGATTATTTTATGGTGTATTACTGAATTATATTTTTATTATATTTGTTATAAAATAATTTATGTTGTATTCATATTTTTGAAATTATTTTTTTTAATAAATATAGTTTTATTTATAAGGATAGATATAGTTATTTTTTATTTTATATATGCAATATGGATATCAAATCGATCATCAAATATGATTATTTTGAGATATTTCATGCCATATGACACTTATATCATTTAAATTTGGACATTTCATGCCAAAATAAAACCGCACTCAATTTATTAAGCATAATACTCAACTATTATCTTATTCTAAAATTTAATGTCATATAACATTATTAAAATAATTTTTTAAATTCATAACCCAAATTTATTATATGCAAATTTTGATATTTCTAACAAACAAAATTTTATACTCTAATAGCTTACGCAACACGAATTTTTATTTACTCTGCGTAGTATAAGATCCAAAACGCGACAAATTATGTTATAAATATTTTAAAATACTAAAAGGAATATAATTTCAATATAAATGACCATTAAGGCAAGATTATATTATTTATTGTGAAACCCCGTGCGTCAAGAAGGATTATAATTTTAAATATTTATTTGTTGAAAATTAAGCACATTATTTATTTTTTTAAAAGAAAGCAAATAAATATTATGATAGGATATCAACTAATTTAATGTGTGATATATCATGTTTATCAGTTTCATATATTGAATGTGTCGCCTAAGTGATTTTAATTGCAATAAATATGGAATGTCGCGGTTGTGGATATATTAAGGGATGATTTTTATTTATATTGAAATTAAAAGAAAAATTTGTTTCCATAAAATGAAAATTACCTAAAAATAAAATAAAAATATTTCTAAATTTCAAAACAAAGCTCTATTGAATTCATGACCACTTGTCGAGTAAACTTAATTAAAAATATTCACATACTCATAGAAAATAATGTATAAGTGATTTTGAGTAATATAAACATCATTTAAGACCGAAATCAATGTTCTTTTATGTCCGTTGGAATTGGTACTGAAGACGCGATATTGGGTACTAAACTACCATTTAAATTGTGCAAAATTATATAAAATATGTCTATTTAAAATTAGTACACAACCCGTAAGGTGTACATGACTGATAATAAGTTATATTATTATATTTCAAAATAAGTGTCATTTTAAAACTTTTTATTGAAAAATTCAATTTGAATACATTGTGGTTCCATTAAATAAATATTTTTGTAAATTTTTTATCATATATTTAAAAATATATGTGAATAATAAGTATAATATTATTGAATTATATTTTTATTATATTTGTTATAAGATAATTTATGTTGTATTCATATTTTCAAAATTAGTTTTTTTTTACAAATATAGTTTTATTTATAACGATAAATGTAATTATTTTTATTTTTTATATGCAATATGGATGTCAATCGAAGATCGTTAAAATATGATTATTTTGAGATATAATATACAAAAAATAAAATAAAAATAAAAAAGTTATATTGATGTAAAAGTAAAAGAATACATATTTATAACAATATTATATGAATTAAATGATGAAGAGTGTCATTCAATGAAATGAAGTGTATTAGTACTGCTTTCTCATTAGTGTGTCAAGTCATGACCATTTTACAATTAAACTCAATTAAAAACATTTTATATCTCATATAAACTAATGTGAGAGTGATTATGAGTCATATAAATATTATTTGAGACAGAAATTTGGTGTTTTTACGTGTTCATTACAAGTGGTACTGAAGTCTCAATATCAGGTACTACAGCAAGATAAAACTGGTACTATCTAATTCTATGTCTGGTACTACTTTTTGTAGATGTTGAACAAAATTGAAATAATCCATTTTCATCACAAAAGTAGGTACTAATTGATTAAAAACAGGTACCACGTAGAAGAAGATGCGGTTCTATATTAGCTAAAACAGGTACTATTTTAAGAATTGTGATTTCTCTAATCCTTCATGTCTACCATGATACGTGGATCGTTCACACGTGATTTGAATGAAAAATAGTAGAAATTAAAATATATAGGTAGAATTTGGAGTAGTCATGTATGATAATTCTATGAGATGAAGTGTGTAATTCAATAAATGAAGTGTATTAGTAGTGTTTTCTCATTAGCGTGTCGAGTTTATAACCAATTTGCGAATAAACTAAATAAAAAACATTTTAAATCTCATATAAACTAATGTGAGAGTGATTATGGGTCATATAAATATCATTTGATACCGAAATTCGGTGTTTTTATGTGTTCATTACAAGTAATACTAAAGACCCAATGTCAGGTACCACAAAAATATAAAACTGGTTCTATCTTACTCTATGTCTGGTACTACTTTTTGTAAATGTTGACCAAAATTGAAATAATCAATTTTCGATAACAAAAGTAGGTACTAATTGATAAAAAAACAGGTACCACGTAGAAGAAGATGTAATACTATTTTGGCTAAAACACGTACTATTTTAAGAATTGTGATTTCTCTAATCCTTCATGTCTACCATGACACGTGGATCATTCACACGTGATTTGGATGATAAATAGTGGAAGTTAAAACATATAGGTAGAATTTGGAGTAGTCATGTATGATGATTCTATGAGATGAAGTGCGTCATTCATTGAAATGAAGTGTATTGCTAGTGTTTTCTCATTAGTGTGTCGAATTCATAACCAATTTACGAATAAACTCAATTAAAAACATTTTAAATCTCATATAAACTAATGTGAGAGTGATTATAGGCCGTATAAACATCATTTGAAACCGAAATTTGGTGTTTTTATGTGTTCATTACAAGTAGTACTAAAGACCCAATATCAGGTACCACAACAATATAAAACTGGTTCTATCTTACTCTATGTCTGGTACTACTTTTTGTAAATGTTGACCAAAATTGAAATAATCAATTTTCGTTAACAAAAGTAGGTACTAATCGATCAAAAACAGGTACCACGTAGAAGAAGATGAGGTACTATTTTGGCTAAAACATGTACTATTTTAAGAATCGTGATTCTCTAATCCTTCATGTGTACCATGACAAGTGGATCGTTCACGCGTGATATGGATGAAAAATAATGAAAGTTAAAACATATAGGTAGAATTTGGAGTAGTCATGTATGATGATTCTATGAGATGAAGTGTGTCATTCAATGAAATGAAGTGTATTAGTAGTGTTTTCTCATGATTGTGTCGAGTTCATGACCAATTTGCGATTAAACTCATTTAAAAACATTTTAAATCCCATAGAAACTAATGTGAGAGTGATTATGGGTCATTTAAACATCATTTGAGACCGAAATTCGGTGTTTTTATGTGTTCGTTACAAGTTGTACTAAAGACCCAATATCAGGTACTACAGCAACATAAAAGTGGTACTGTCTTACTCTGGGTCTGATACCAATTATTTCAAATATTAACCACAATTGAATAATCCATTTTCGTTGATCAAAAGTTGGTACAAATTGATCAAAAACTGGTACCACGTAGAAGAAGATGTGGTACTATATTGGCTAAAACATGTACTATTTTAAGAATCATGATTTCTCTAATTCTTAATGTCTACCATGACACGTGGATCGTTCACGCGTGATTTTAGATGAAAAATAGTGGAAGTTAAAACATATAGGTAGAAATTGAAGTAGTCATGTATGATGATTCTATGAGATGAAGTATGTCATTCAATGAAGTGAAGTGTAGTAGTAGTGTTTTCTCATTAGTGTGTCGAGTTCATGACCATTTTACGATTAAACTCAATTCATGTGGGAATGATTATGAGTCGTATAAACATCATTTGCGACCAAAATTCGGTGTTTCTATGTGTTCATTACAAGTGGTACTAGAGACTCGATATGTGGTACTAAAGCACCATAAAGTGGTACTACCTTACTCTAGGTATGGTACTACTTTTTTTAAATGTTGACCACAATTGAAATAATTCATCATGGTTGACCAAAAGTAGGTACTAATTGATCAATAACAAGTACTGCGTAGAAGAATAACGGGTACTATTTCAATCAAAACTAGTACCAATTTAGTAATCGTGATTTTTCTTTAATCCTCCACGTCTACCATGCCACGTGGATTGTTCACGCGTGATTTGGTTGAGAAATATTGGAATTTAAAACATATAGGTAGAATTTGGAGTAATCATGTAAGATCATTCGATGAGATGAAGTGTGTCTTTTAATGAGATGAAGAGTAGTGGTGTTTTTTCATTAGTGTGTTTAGTTCGTGACTAATTTCTGATTAAACTTAATTAACACATTTTCAATCTCATAGAAACTAATGTGAGAGTGATAATTGGTCATATAAACATAATTTGAGACCGATCTTCCGAGTTGGTATTAAACACCTGATATCTGGTACTAAAACACCAAAAGTTGGTACTATCTCACTCTAGGTCTGGTACCAGTTCTTGCAAATATTGACCAAAATTGAAATAATCCATTTCGTTGACCAAAAGTAGGTACTACTTGATTAAAAATAGGTACTATGCAGAAGAAGAAGCAGTACTATTTCGGTCAAAACTGGCACCGTTTTATTAATCGTGATTTCTTTAATCCTCTATGTCTACCATGTCACGTGGATCACTCACACGTGATTTGGTTGAGAAATAGTGGAAGTTAAAACATATAGGTACAATTTGGAGTAGTCATATATGATCATTCAATGAGATAAAGTGTGTCTTTTAATGAGTGAAGTGTATTAGTAGTTTTTTTCATTAGTGTGATGAGTTCGTGACCAATTTGCGATTAAACTTGATTAAATACATTTTAAATCTCATAGAAACTTATGTGAGAGTGATAATGTGTCATATAAACATTATTTGAGACCGAAATTGGGTGTTTTTATTATGTTCGTCCGAGTTGGTACTGAAGACCCGATATCTGGTACTATAACACCATAAAGCTGGAACTATCTTACTCTAGGTCTGGTACCAGTTCTTGCAAATGTTGACCAAAATTGAAGTAATCCATTTTTTTTGACCAAAAGTCAGTACTAAATGAGTAAAAACAGGTACTACGCAGAAGAAGAAGCGGTAATATTTCTGTCAAAACTGGTACCGTTTTAGTAATCGTGATTTCTTTAATCCTCCATGTCTACCATACTACATGGATCGTTCACGCGCGATTTGGTTGGAAATAGTGGAAGTTAAATATATAGGTAAAATATGGAGTAGTCATGTATGATCATTCAATGAGATGAAGTGTGTCTTTTCATGAGATGAAGTTATTAGTAGTGTTTTTTCATTAGTGTGTTGTGTTCGTGACCAATTTGCGATTAAACTTAATTAAACACATTCTAAATCTCATAGAAACTAATGTGAGAGTGATTATTGGTCATGTAAACAACATTTCACATTCTAAATCTTATAGAAACTAATGTGAGAGTGATTATTGGTCATGTAAACAACATTTGAGACCGAAATTTGATTTTTTTTTTATTTTTTTTTTTTATGTTCGTCGGAGTTGGTACTGAATACCTGATATCTGGTACTAAAACACCATAAAGCTGGTACTATCTTACTCTAGGTGTGGTACTAATTTTGAAAATGTTGGCCAAAATTGAAGTAATCCATTTTTGTTCTTTCTACAAAGTAGGTACTAATTCATCAAGAATTGCAATGTTATCAAAACCGGACCGGACCGGCCGGTTCGACCGGGAACCGGACCTAGTACCGGTCCGGTTTGAGTGTTTAAACCGCTGGGAATAAGAACCGGTTTCGAACCGTTCGAACCGGTTCAAAACCGGTAAAACCGGTGAACCGGTTCTGAAATTTGAAAAAAAAAATCTTAATGAAATAAAAAAAAAAAATCAAACAAAAGGAAAAGAGTGATAGAGTATTTTGATGTTTGATGAATTGCAATGTTAGATTGGATATATTTTGATGTTTGATGGCTTTGTAGTTTGTATTTGTAATTTGGATTACCTTGTTTTAGATATTGAATTATTAATCTATTGTTTTAGTGAACTTAATTTAGTATTGCTTATGGTAAACTATACTTAAAATATTGATTTATCAACTCTTATTTAGAAAAATATCATTATATGCTATTATATGCTATAAAATTAATGATAAAAAGTATATATATATATATATATATTATACATATAAAATAAATAAATAAATTGTATATTAGTTAAACCGGTTCGACCACTGGTCCGACCAGTGAACCATTGAACCAATAGCTTCACCGGTTCGATGATCGGTCCGGTTTTGATAACATTGAAGAATTGGTACTTCTTAGAAGAAAAAGTGGTACCATTATAGGTAAAACTGGTGAAATACTGAAGGTAATTTTGATGATAACCTAAGGGGGTGATTGTTTATGAAATATTTCATTCAAAATGAGTTATTTTAGTTAACTAGAGTTAATTTTGAAAAAGGTGGTATGGTTAATTGTTAGTGGGATTTTAAGAATGTATTAAAATAATATTTAAAATAAAATGATTAAAATTGATTTGATGTAAAAGTAAGAGATAAATGATTGGAAATGATTAGAAATGATAGGTAGTTAAAATTATGTGAGTGGATGAATAGTGAATTAAAGTTGATGTGATGTGTAAGAATGATTGGTTTGTATTATTTAATTATATGAATAATATTAAAGATAATGGAGTTGAGTTAAAGTTGAGTTAGATTTTTATATTGAAGGTAATTTTTTGAATCTAAGCATAATCACAACAATCATAAAAAGAACACTTATTTATTTCTTCATTTTCCTCTGTATTATGCCAATTTCATCTCCCATCTCCTTGCATGAGAAAAAAAATCACCAAATCAACAGCAACAATTTACACTGTCCCTCAACAAATGGAAATAAAATCCTAGAAAAAATCGTAGTAATTACAGGATGGCTTCACGTCAACACCGCGAGCCTTTCACACAGTGGGCCCAGGCCCACCCGCCTCCTAGCCCATCACAAATCGCAATGGCACGTCCGGAGGGTTCAAGCACCTTATCAGAGCCCAATTCACGCTCTGAAAAAATGGGTGCTGCTCGATCTCGGTTGCCTCACATCTATACGCCAGCCTGTTCTACGGCTCCTTAACGAGCAGCCCCCTAATAAGATCCCGGGAAGCAAAACTGACGGTGGGAGCTGCCGAGAACTTCAGCGGCTGCCCGACCACATTGAAAAGGGTCGCCCGGTTACCCGACCCTTTAAACGGAGTCCACCCAAACAGCAGCTCGTAAAAAAAATCCCCAAAGGATATTCGGTTTTGCTATAGGTCCTTATGTCCTCGGCAAAACACATTCGATTAGACGCGAAAGCTTTTCCAACAATACCCTCTCCTTTGAGCAAGTGGTAACCAGAACACGCCTCGTGAAAGCCCATAACATTTTCATCTGCAATATAGCAGGCCGAGTCGAGTATTGATATGCAACACGCTAGATTCTCGTTCGATTTTCGGCAGATTCCTTTGTGTTGCTGAACGCATGAGACCCATGTCTAGGCGTGTCACAAATATATCTTAAGACATTTTGTATCTCGAGTAAAGAATCTTGGTACGGTTCGTTTGGATCCTGGCATAGTTAGAATCAAATTATGCATTAGAAATGAAAGTTGTGTTCACTGAAGAGGATTTTTTTATTTCATTGATTACCTTTATAATCATATTGGAAGGAATCGAAATTTCAGAACTTTTCAAGTTAACAGCCTGCAAGAGAACAAATCATTTTCAGAAAAAAGAGAGCCGTTTCATATATGAATTTTCTCCGAAGATATATCAATATAAGCAAGACGATATAGACTTAGAAATAGCATCATAAGGATTTAAACTTCTGCCATAACTAGTCTAAGCTCCAAATAATAATTATTTACATAAGAAAGATAATGGAGAAAGCAAAAAAGAAACAGAAGACGCCTTTACAGTAAATTCACATCATTAAAAGCTAGAAATACAATAATAAGAGAAGTTCAATACAATACCTAGAGCTTTGCCGACATTCTCGAGCTCAGGACTAAAATCGACTTTTTGACTGGTCGTCCACCGGTCGACTGCACTTACGTGGCCTTCTTCTTTGANAACCCTAGCATAATTCGTGTGTGTGTGTGTGTGACTTTGAGAACAAAAATAAAATACACCAAAATAATCTAATTACTTGCATAATTCGTGTTAAGAATACGTTCAAAACACCCAAGTTACATACACAGGTGAAAAAAAAGCAGTGTAATTACCATGACAAGTTGGAACAATTAGCATCTAGGGTTTCACCTAAAAACTATCAGAGTTGAATTAGGTTCGATAAATACCTCAATCGTCGGATAAATTAAAATCACTCCCCCAATTTATCAACCCAGAAACAACAATTTCTCGACGCCTTCGACCGCGATCCCCGTCCTTTTCACGAATGCGAAAAAGGGGCCCAACATCTTGCGGTAGTGGATGGGCCTCGCGAGCTCTTCCTGGACGTCGATTCGGACGCTCGAGATCCCGACTTCCTGGAGGCGATTTCACAGAGAGAAAGAGAGAGACGGGAATTGAGAGAGCGATTAAGAGAGAGAGAGAGACGAGAAGAGAATATTGAGAGAGAGAGCTTATTTTTTATGATTTTGAAGCAAAATAAATGAATAATAATAATAATAGTATATATATGGGAAGTGAAATGGAAAGATAAAATTAGTGAAAGGGATTGCAGAGGAAAAAAATTAAGAGGGGGACTGATTTGGAAGATGAAAAGGGGAGTGGGAATTTAAGTTGAATTTATCGTAATTTTTTATTATATTTATTTATTTTTTATTATTCACGATATAATAATAAGAGTGAGTAAATAACTTTAAAATTGTCCACCCTGTATATCGCACGGGCTCCACACTAATTATTGATTTAATTTCATGTGATTTTTTTAATAATACTTGCTGAATTTATTATTTTGAGGCTGTGCTGTTTGGGCTTTACTAAAACTAGATGTTCTCTTAATATTCACCCAAAACTCTGGAATTCTCTCGCACGAGTGACCGCGCACCACGTAGCTTAGCGCCGCTAGCCCGGGAGCCTAGCGCCGCTAGGGATGACATGCAGCGCGAGAATTTGGAAGCATGGCCTATTCCTTGTACGCCATCGTGGGCAATAACGCGAAGAACACTAATCCTACGAGTTGTCGTGCTCCCTTGGGACCCGCTTTACATTTTGACCGATACCATGAGATGTCGAGCTCTCTTGGGACCGTTTTTACTTTTCCTTTTCCAAGACTTGTGAGTGACCAACCGACTTGTGGTTGGCCTCGTATTTTTTTATCTTGCGAATGAGGAATCGACTTGTGGTTACCCATTACGCTTTTGTATGTCGTAGACTGGTTGTTCGAACTCAATTTTGATCTATATATTTACATTGAACGATCAAAAAATATTCACCCAAAACACAAAAGGCCTTAGGTCCTTCAATTGAAATTTTGAAATGCGTATTTGGCAGTTTGATTTCTGTTGCCATGAGACAACGTAAATATTGACAAGTACTATTCCATATGGCTAGGGCTTGTTTGCTTTTGTTTTGTAGATGAGATTGGAGTAACACCAAGTAATGAGTTTTGTAGAAATGTTTTTGTACCCACTTACGAGCTTAATTTATTATACCCACCTATGAGTTTAAGGCTGAAGTACATAATTGTACACTTCTAGCCATCATTTTTCATCTTCATGTTCTTTTAAAATAATTTTCAACTATGATCTATATTTGCTATGAGGCCAATAGTTGGCTCCATAGTGGATCCAAACTTCTATATACAATAAGGGGGCGTTTACTTTGGCGGATGGGGATAGGATAAGACATTTATCCCGCTGTATCCTTCATTTACTTCTGCGGATTGGGACTAGATTATTGTGACATGGAGCCCATGTGGCAGCATTCCATCCGCCGAATTCGGATTAAAAAATCCCGCCACTCCCATGTGATAAATTAATCCCGATTTTTGCATACCCTTTTTACCCTCAAAAAGTGTTGCAAACAGACCAAACTAACCCTTAGTTTGCTTTAAATTACAACTTTACTTTGTATTGATTTTTTTTGCCCTAGCCCGTCTCAGAAACAACGACGCCATAACAGTGAGAGGAAGCTTCGGAATTTTCGCCCGTGAAGAAGGTGAGCTTCAATGACACCATTTTAACCTATTCCATTTCCAATTTTTAATTTTATTTCCGTTCGTCGGAGGTTCGTGAATGAATGTTTGAACTCGAGCGTTTTGCCCTAATTTCTGCAGAAACGACCGCGACATTGTCTCTGAAGCTGTTGTCTTCGGGTTCTCCGTCTGGTGTAAAGGTGATCTCCAAACTCGCTTTATTCACCTTTTCCCATTTCAATTTTTCCCTACTTTGTTGTTTGCGGTTTGCCCTAATTTGTTGTTTGCGGATTTGTAAATCGATTCCGGATATTATTTATGTTTTTGTTTGACTTATTAATTTTTATTTTTTTTTTTGTTTCTCCAAATGTTGTTTTCTTTGAAGACACAACAAAAATCCAGTAGCCAATATCCAGGTTTTCTCCGTCCTAGTTGAAGGTAAACAGCTTCCGTTAGCATGTTCTTGCTATGTTTCATCGTTTTTGTTTTAATGTTCGAGACTCTGCCCATTGTGTTCACATGCTGCAAAATGATGGGATTTAAGGCTTAAATTTCAGTGCAGAATGGTGAGTCTATTGGCTTAAATTTCAGTTCTGAAGATAAAAAAGAAAAGCATGTTTTGTTGTTTCAGTTTCAATTTGTTGGGAACCGGTTGAGACCTGTTGACTGTGTTAAGGTTCTGCAAATGTGCTAAATTTTAATAGTTATTGGGTCTCAGTTTCAATTTTGCTCCCACTGCTTTCCTTTTAAATAGAGATGAACCTGTTATATGAATTAAGTTCTAACCTTTATCTTGTTTGAATGTGTCATATGCACTTGTGTGTTGTCTTTTGAACTTGTCATATGAGTTGTGTTGCTGCATTTTCTTGAATATGTTGGGCTGTGGTCAAACAGCTCCTTTGTTTAAGTTGTGTTTATTACTCATACGAGCACCAACATCATGAACTGCATTTGAATTCACAAAGATCATTTGAATATGCCTCTGAAATGGAACCTGTAGGTATTTTGCAAAGTATTGTATTCTGTGCAAATGTGCTTATTGTGCTTAAAATTCTGAGTTACTGGGAGAGATAGCTTCAGATTTGAAGCATCCTTTAACTTGTGTTATTTGTTAGGTTGCAAGATGTGTTAGGCTGAACACCAACACTTAAGTGTGTTGTTTGTTAGGCTGAAAGGTTTGATAGGCTGAAAATGTGTTGTGTTTTTGTAGCTTAAGAAGCATGTTCAAGTGTGTTATTTGTTATGCTGAAATATTTTATTAGGCTGAAATAGGTGTTCAACCTTTTGCTTTGTGAGGATGAAAGTGTGTTATTTATGTGTATATTTAGGTGCCAGAGCCTTTTGATTTTTGTGCTGAAAACATGTGTTTTTATCTCTCAAATTAAGATAAACATGTGCTGAAAACATTTGTGTGCTGAAAACATGTGATTTGTGTGCCATAACATGTGTTTTTAAGTGCTGAAAACATGTGTTTTCATATGTCCAGGCATGACCAGACATCATGAGTACATTTATCATTGGAATTTTCTCACAAATTAAGATAAACCTTCTAGGAAGAGATTATGCAACCAATAATTTGCGGTTTTATAAATATAGTCCTGTGCAGTGTCATCTTATTTCTGTTTTAAAAAATGAAAATTGAAAAGAAAGGTGCTATCAGTCCAATAATATGGCAATGTGATAGCTGCTAGTAGTATATTTCTATGTTTTTATTATTTGCAACATGTAATTTTACTATGAGTCCAGCTATGCTATTATATCAGTCCAATATGGAAATTGATGAGCCATCAATCATTAAAACTATGGCCTTATTAATAGGGGTGTAATGAAAGACATTTTTTTCTTTGTGTTAGGCTGAAAATGTTGAAAATGTGTTCAACCTTTTTCTTTGTGAGGCTGAAAGTGTGTTATTTAATCAGCTATATTTAGGTGTGTATACTTAGGTTGCAGTATGAAACTATTATATGTGTATACCTAGGTTCAGCTACTTAGGTTGCAGTGTGCTGCTATTATATGTGATTACAGAGCCTTTTGGAGGCTGCTATTATATGTGATTTGTGCGCTGAAAACATGTGTTTTTGATGTATTCAAATGCAGTCGTAAGTGAAAAAATTGTTGTTCCAAGCCATGGTAATTGCTGTTTTTTTGTTACCTATATGATCCATTTCAGAGGTCTATAAACCTTTTTTCAAAGGCCCAATATTTTATAAAATTTACAACATGAGCTTGTTTTGTGGGGTATTATGGATTGTTTTGTTTGAAGCTAGAGTTATTACTATGTTTTTGTGCTCAACTAACAGGTTTGATGTTGATGTGTTCAGA